GAATAGCAGTTCAATAGGGTTTTTTTAAGGAAATCGTGACGACGACGGCCGCAAAAAGAAATAATAAAAGATCTAATGATAAACTGAATTAAAGCTCTGCAAGCGCGTTTTTTAGCTTCGTACATTTCCTAGCACAGGCAGCCCAAGCTCTCTTTGAGAACCACACAAGGAACACAATTTGCATATCGATTTATAAGGATTTGTATGGGATTTTCTACAAGATATCCATAGAGATAGTTAAAAGTGAAAATATCAAATAAAAATGACTCACCTTATTCCATACGTGTGTTGCTTGCTCCTGGTGTCGTTATTTTACCGATTTCACTTGATTTAAGCGGTTTTTTTTAATCCTGGTTTACTCTCCTTAAACGCGGGGGTACTAGACCTCAACTTGTCAACAAAACTTCTTGTAAAACCCGGGGTCCCCTCAGGTTTAGTACCCCCGCGAGTCTTGGTTTGCCAACATGACGAGGTTACCAAGCCAATTTCAACGGTCGTTGTGTCGTGTTTAAAAAGGACTCGGATGTCTACAAACGTTTTAACGTTTCACTGAGGACACGAACAGCCGCCTGGCGTCGATCGCAGGGCTGAAATTGTGTGGCTAGAGAATCAAATGAGAGGTCTTCTCTTTAAGAAGAGAAAACCAGGATAAGAAAAAAAACCGCTTTAATCAAGTGAAATCGGTAAAATAACGACACCAGGTGCAAGCAACACACGTATGGAATAAGGTAAGCCATTTTTATTTAAAATCTTCACTTTTAACTATCTCTGTGGCTATCTGGTAGAAAATCCCATACAAATCCTTATAAATCGATATGCAAATTGTTTTCCTTGAGTGGTTCTCAAAGAGAGCTTGGGGCGCCTGTGGAAAAACTGGCTCCGACATTTTCCCTGGCCAGCCAAGAACCAATAACACTTCTCCAGAAAAACAGATAATTCTTCGCTTCACCCTTAAAAATAATTATTTAGCAATATTAGCGTTTCTTGAGGGTAACCCGTTGGAAAATTAAATTTAATTGCGAAAAACATTCTCGTAGGAAAGCCGACGTTAGAGTTCAAAAGGTAATTAGTCGTTTCGCCAACGAGTCGTTGCACCAAAGACCACTAAGTTTGCAAACGAGTTGGGTCGTTTTGCCAAAGTCTTACCGCAGTTGGTATACATCTCTTAGGTCGTTTCGCTAACGTATTAACAAAGGCCAGTTTCACCCACAAATCATCTCGCCTGTCCAGTGCAACAATAAGGTTTCAAGTCTTTCAACTTACTACACTCCAAAGGTCTCCCTTTTTAAACAGTTTTATGACGGAGTATACTGACTGCTGCCTTGAATGGAAACGTCGCCCTGAAGTCTGTTGGCAACACCTGAAAACAAACACAGCAAGACTAAAATGTCTTAATAACTTTATCTTATGAATTTTTGGTTTCTCATTTTGTAATTCATATAATGTTAAGGTTCTAGCATTCAGTTAGCGCCAGGTTAAGGAGACTGGGTAACAACCAGCACTGTCATTGATGATGAATTAGCCTGTCCTCACTCCTTTCACATTCAAGAGCAATAACTGAGGAACAAGAAGTGGGCGAACCGACCCGTAGGCAAGATAAATTAGAGGCGAAACTTTTGGTCAACTGTATCCGAGCTGACTTACAGGCAAATCGCTGACCTATGGGCGAAATGCCGACACTGGGGCGTAGGCGAGACGAATGTGGATGAAACATCCCGAGGGTGAGATGACTTGAAGGCGAAACTGATTCGTAGGCGAGTTAACGTTTGAACCAAACGACCTGTGGGCGAGAAGACTTGTAGATTCCATTGACAGAACTTGACCGACTTCTAATCGGCCGAAAGGGCATAAGGGAGTAAGTTTGTTTCAATGCAAACTAAAAGTCGATCCCAATACAGCTCCATTCAAGACAAACTGTACCGGCTCCTGGTTAGCTCAATGGATAGAGCGCTGGACTGTTGTGCGGGAGGTCGAGGGTTCGAGTCCCGGCCGGACCAACACTCAGGGTCTTAAAATAATTGAGAAGAATTTGCTGCCTTTCTATAACATCAAGAAATGGTTAGATATTCTAGTCTTCTCGGATAGGGACGAATAAATGGAGGTCCCGTCTCCTGCAGGGTTGGGGTAGGAGACGTTAATTTCCCACACACGAGATTACTGTGTGATGGATGTCCTCCCCTGGGGTGGGATGGGTGGGANCTCGCCATACTCTGGTGAAAGTGATTAAACTGAGGTCGGTTTGATACATCGTCAAAATCGATTCGATATGCGCAAAAAGTCGATTGAATGCAACTCAAGTTATTTCTACATCAACTTAATTTATTTGCAAAATCCTATGAGGGCAGACAGCAAATTCTAGTGCAAAGTGCAAAGATAAGAATGAATAAAGCTAAAGTAATAAATAATTTTGGCACAGTAATTCTAAAATAAATAGAAATTGGTAGCTAAACTTAAGCAGAGAGATAATTATCCACAGCCGCTTTGAAGTTACTTGGTGGAGTCATATTCATGATATTTGATGGTAAACTATTCCAGTCATTAATTGTTCTAGGCCAAAAACTGTATTTATACTCATCACATGATGTTTGTAGCGAACTAAACTTCATTAGATCAAAGCTAGCTTTTAGTTTTCATAACAGTTTTAATGTTTCACATAAGGTGGTATATTGATTGCTGCTTGGCCATTTCGATACAAAGTAGAGGATAAATTTGGAGGTTTTCACTCGTCTACGGTACAATAAAGTAAATCTTACGCAAATGATGCGAATGCAAATGTAGAAGAGACGATTGTGACATAACCTAAGTAAAACGTTGACGAAACAACCGATGAGACGTTAGCGAACTGACCTGAGACGTTGGAGAAACGACCTAATATGTTAGCGAACTGGTCGTAAACGAAATGCATTCAATATGGCGGCGGTCGGCGCGGCGGTAATAGTTAAATTTTCAAAGCATTTGAAGACAATTTTCAAAAGGTTAGGTCACTCTTTGGACCTCAATGAGCGACATCATTTCATGCGAAATTTACTTCAGAGATAAAAATAGGCAGTTCAGACTGCATATGGCTACCCTGTTCCACAAGAGGGAAATGATTCAAGAATATAGTGACTAATTGACACTCAACCAATGATTAGATGGCGAAAAATAATCATAATAATAATAATAATAATAACAGTAATAATGGTAATAATAATGATAATAATAAAAACAATAGTTATAGTAATTAAAACTAATAGAGGCCAATTCAAGAACCTCGCTATCTCTCTCTCGGTCTATCCTCTAGGCCAATAATGATTCAATTACGCCTCTTTTAATTCTAATTTTGCCTGCTAATTATAAATAATTTTCTCATTTAATTGCAATTCCATCTTTTTGTGAGACTTTTCTCTCACGCAACAAAGCACTCCACATTGAAGGCAACGAGGATCCAAAATCCGAAATCGACTACGAGTGTCCAAAATCCAAAATCGGCCACTTGTGTTCAAGATCGGAAATGAGCCATTAGTGTCCAAAATCGGAAATCAACCGCTTGTGTCCAAAATCAAACACCAGGCACTTGTGTCCAAATCGAAAATCGGCCATTAGAGTCCAAAATCCAAAATCGGCCACTATTTTGAAAAATCGTAAATCGGCCACCAGTGTCCAAAGTCGAAATCGGCCACTAGTTTTTAAAATTGGAAATCGGCTATTAGCGTCCAAAATCAGAAATTGGCTATTTGTGTCCAAGATCTTAAATCGGCCACCAGTGTACAA